TCCTTCCTGCACCCCTCCATTCAGTCCTTCCTGCACCCCTTCTTCCCTTCCTATTAGTGCCTGGAACACCGTCTGGGTACGCAGCCAGTGCCATGTGGAACGTGGAGCCCACACACCTCGTTCCCTCAGGTGCCTCTTTTTCTAGCAAGCGCTGCCCTCCTGGGGGGGAGTTATTCAAAGCAGAAATCTTCCCTGAACTGTTGCTTCTCCCTTCTTCCTCTCCATTCAGCCTTCTCAGCAGTGAAATTGCCGCCCCTTCGTCCCTTGTCCTCCCTCCAGGCTCCTTCACATCACACGGTTTCCCTCCCCAGCGAGGGCCGTGCCAGAGAAAGGCGCACAGCACCTGGGACACAGCTGTACACTTCCCTGAGCTCCGTGCGTGGCAAGTGACAGATGGCGTTGAGGTAACACGACCGCGTCAGAAAGACTCATGCACACTCGTATTCAGCCGCAGGGCCCCTCTGACATCCCTGGGCCCTGGCTGACACCCACGTTTTCAGACAGAAGCGCGCTTAACACGTTCCCAAACACACGACCAGGCGTCTCGATGCACTCGGCCTGCCAAACACACACACACCACAAAGGTCCATTCCTCTTTGGGCGGAACCTGTGGTTTTCCCCAATTTCTGGCCCTTTCCCCTATTTTTTGTGCGTGCTTTCCACTCTGCGACTTGGGGGTCATCCTGTTAAATTACCGCAGCCATCTACAGTGATGCTATGCCACCTAGGAGTCTTTTTCAAGTGCTTCGTCTTATGTGCATTTCTTCACATAGTCAAGTCGGCAAGGCCAAGAGAATTAATTGCTGAGTACGTTTCTCAAAGAATAAAAAAACATCAGTCGTCTTGTTAAAAATTTCTCTAGGCCAAGCCGGCCTTGTGTGTGTGCGTGTGTGTGTATGTGTGTGTGTGTGTGTGACCTTGACAGTCGTACAGGGCCCCCTCTGACAAGGAGCCACACTTGGTTTAATGTTCCTTCTGTCAGTGTGTTGATTTTCATTTTGAAAAAGGGTCAAATGCTGTAGCCAGCCCCATCTATAGGTCCCCACAGCATAATAAATGCATTTTATAATAAACCGCAAAAGACAGCAAGCATACAGTTGTCTGACTAGAAAGCTTGGGGTTCAGCCCACAGGACCACCTCACCCTGCATATGCCCCAATAGTACTTGTGGTTGTATTGCTTCTTTTAGAATTATCACAGACACCATCTGTGATTATGCTGGCCTTTTTCATGTTATTTGATTGCAGTATAAAGTAACTTGTAAAAGGAAAACATTTTGGTAACGTCAGGATAACACTCGAAATGTAGGGTTTTTTTTTTATTCTGCTCACGCATGTCCAGTTTGGTACACAGTGCGCCCTGCGGATGGGCCCCCCAGAAGCTCTCTTTCTGACCGGCCTGGTTAAGCCACACCCCAAGCTCATGAAGACCAACCATGTGAGGGGAGAGCCTTAAGTGTGTGTTGAAGGGATGCCAGATACATGGATTGGTGGGAATCGTCCAGGTGCGTCAAGAAGAAAAGGCTTAGCACGTCTTTCCTCAAAGTCAGCTTGAACCCCAAGATCGGAATTTGCCTGGATGGGAAATGAACCTTCTATTGACTTCAGTAGACACATCCATCAGGAAGAGCAGAAACTCTTACCTGTATCTGTGTGATCCAAGATACACCAACACATGCAGCCGTCTTGATGAGGTTATAGAAGAAACACAACACAAAGCCCTCAGGCACAGTTTCCAAAAATCTACCTATGCTCTTCCTTGCAGCTGACTTTGGTTATCGCTGTTTGTTTGTTTTTTGTTTGTTTTCTAGCAGAGACAAAGAACCCCTTGGAGACTGGCTCAAGACCCGAGGATCCGAGATTCTGGGCCAGTGTCCAGGGTAGGGCGCTGGGGTCTCAACTTTTAAAAACCACCTCAGTTGATTCTGGGGTAAGTGAGGTAGGAACTGGTAGGAAAGGTAATTGATCTAGAAAACATGCACCCCATTAAAATGGGGCAGAATCTTTGATTTCAAAAGCATCTATGACCTCATGTTGTTGGCATTACCTTTCTTTAGGTATGTGTGTTGCTATGGATTGGACACACCGTTCCATTTGTTAATAAACACATCCAATGTTATTTTTCCAACACATTTCCCCAAGACTCTATTCGATTCTTTTTTGTTTTTGTTTTTTGGCTAGTGGCTTATCTTTTTAAAGGCTTTCCAGCTACATTGGATAAGGACAGAATCTGAAGGCAGCAAGAAGGCGCTTTCTCTGATATGCCCATGGAGTGCTCGCTCTAAAACTGGAAAAGACCAACAGTTTCACTTGATGGGATTTATGAATCTTTAGCTGAATGCGGTCCTGGATCACAGGTTAGGGGTTGTTGGGAAAAATGAAGTGAGGGGAGGGAACTCACAGATGAGGTCCCGTTTCCTCTTAATTGCTTTCACTTGATGATGCAACACCACACACCTTCTCTCAGAAACTAGAATTAACTTCCAGAAAAGAAAATGTCGGAAAACCACGAAGGGTTCCCCGGTCGGGCCTGGGCCCATGCTGCATCACGGCCACACTGCCAGGCTAACTGTCAGGCGTGGGCAGCCAGACGCCTAGATTCTGTCTTTAACTCTGCTTCCCTCCTGCTACTCCTCCTCCAGACTCAGTTACCTCTGCTCCGCGTTGAATGAAGGACCCAGGAACACGGAGAGAGCTGCTAAGAGAGAAAAAGAAATTGTGACATGGGGGGCAGAGGATGTAAGTGACAACAGAAAGTATAAATATCAGATGTGCATCTTTTATAACATGGTTTCAAGCAAGCATTGGGGCACAGTACTGTACCGACCTGGTCCCTGACGACCAATTTCATCATTTTGTGAAGGAAAAATGTGGCTTTTTTGCATAGGATCACTGAAGACACGCTCTATTCTTCAGGAAAACAACACCCACATCCGTTTTCCATCATCTACTTTCTTTTATTATCTTGCAACGTGCATATTCTATTTGGGGGTAGCTCTGGCATACAACACATTTTGCTCTTCAGGGAGATGACAAAATTTCTGTTGCACTATATGCAGGTTTAGAGGTATGATTTTTATTCATCACCTCCATGGCTGCTAAGATGTTAGTAGGAAGTATTAGAAATGTGTTTGCTATTACTTTTGTGCACAAAAGAATAGCCTATTAAAATTTTAACTCTTTTTCCTGCAAAAATATACAAAGAACTGTCTACTGACGCTGTATCACGCTACTACCACTTTTCAATCAGTCACCACCGATCCATCAATTAGTGTTACATTTTTCTGCAGTCAAACTAAGAGCCCGTTCTAGGTTAAGTCATCGCTAAAAATTTATTCTGTCGCTGCAGTCATCATTAAAGTTAAAATTATTGCTAATAAATAAAATGCATCAGAAGTTGCATTTTCATGTTTCCAGGACCAGCTGTATGGCTATGTTCAACTGTGAATCCTTTTTCCCGTCCCTGCACTTTACCCCAGGGATTTTTAAGCTAAGCACATTCGATGGCCTCTGTTGGTTTAAGTGTCTTACTGGGCATAACAGCTGCAAGGAATACTGGGGTTCCAAACCCAAAGGTTTCACAGGATGTTCAATGCCAGTAAAAGTGAACACTTGTCCCAATGACTAGGTCATTAACTGACGTCACCCTAATTCTAACATTAGCCACACAAGCAATCATACTCGGGGTGGTCATATCCAGTTTCACCTATCAACTGGAGATATTGGAAAACATACAAATAGCCATAAAGGAAATCCTACTTAATAGCCAAATGCAGGAAACTATTTAAAATATGGAAGTGACTTGTGTGTTTCTGGTCCTTGAACATGACCCAATGATTCCTGGTGTGCCCCCAAACGTACGTTTGGGGAAGCATCAGCAAATTCAAAGACGTTTCAAGTTACATCATTTTAACTAAATCTTAAACGATATAACTTTAACTGAAAACCTTATTTGCCATTCCCGAGTGGCTTATTTTCATGTGCGATAAAAGAGTTTTTCAGTGAAATATTTCAAATTTTGTAAAGTGAGACTTTTTAAAGCTTTTTGAAACAAAAGTCAAATAAGCCATCATGCTTTGATTCTTATTTTCATTCCTAAACATGAAAAGAAACCTACAGGTGCTCTTCAGAAATACTGAAACTGGGGTCTGTTAAAAGACTTAAAGTGGGCTTTTCTTTGATGTTCCCAGGCCCAGAAATTTACACTGAGCCATGTAAATACCATAGATTTGGAGAGGCGCTTCAGAAAAT